TTTTTTTTTTTTTTTTTTTTACAATATATTGAAAATTTGAGACATTAAAAAAAAAAAAAAAAAAAAGAAGAAGAAGAAGAAGAAGAAGAAGAGGAGTCTTTATAACGTGTGGACCTTTGGCATTGGGTGAAGAAATATATAGTTTTGCTTTACTGTAATCAAACTCAATTATGAAAAAGATATGTTTTATAATTTCTTATTTATTTATTTATTTATTTTATTTGTAACTACCAAAATGGGTCTTTTTCCATTTTATATTAACCACTGATCAATATTAAAACACCCCATTAATCCAACATTAAAACCTTATTATGCTGCTTAAACCAACACACTTCCCTCCCTCACCTCACTTTTAAATTATTTTTGCATTTAAAAATTCATAAATATTTTTTAAATAAAATATTAATGAGTTTTATCTAATTTTGTAATAAAAAAATAATGAATAAAACCATTTTCACACCAAAAAAATCGATATTGGTATCATCAAATATTCTTTTAGGAAAAAAAAAAAGAAATTAAAAGTTTATATTTAGATGGTATAGAAATGTCAAATGAATGTCAACATCACGTGCACCATCACGAGACCTTCAAAATAGAAGGTAGATAACCAAACATTCCAACCCTTCTTTCATATATATATATATATATAATAAATTAATTAAATTCTAAATTTAATCTTTTATAGCTTATGTCTATTTCTAAAAAAATTATTAAATTTTTAATTTATGTTTAATATGTTTGCTGAATTTTAAAAAATATTTAATAAATTATTAACATTTTAACGTATTTAAAAAAAAATACATCAGTAAAATTTGTTAATATTTTTTTAAAGGTGAAGGACAGAGATTTAAGTAAGTTTGTTAAAAATGTGTGAGTGACACGTGGAAGAGAGAAACGGGGGTTGGTCCAAGTGGCATTTTTTTTTAAATGGTATAATTAAATAAATATAAAAACTGGAGTCCATTAAAATAATTTGTGGGATAAGATAGAGAAAAAGAAAGTCCACGCGTCGTTGCTTACTTGGACTTAGCGTTGGCGTTTGGGAACTCCCCAAATTTCTTTTTTAAATAATTTAATTATCGTATCCTATGCTAATTTAACCAGCTGTGAATTTAGGGCTTAGGATGATGACATCTGTACTAAAAAGAAGCTGAATGTGCTTCCAACTCATCTCCAAAGTACAATTAGTACTCCACTTATCAATCTAAATGGATTACAAGTTTTATGTTATATGCCTAAGATATTCTTGAAAGACCACAAATATAAAACTTTACTTTGTTGTTTCTAAAATCTCTACACAATGGAGAGCAAAAAACAACGGTTAGCAAATGTTTTAGAAACCCGAAGCAAAAAAGGCAACCAGACGACTCCTTTAATGACTAAATTATCTTCTTGAAAGACACATGATACCGATGTTGATGATGTTGATGTTGATCTGAACGATTTCGTTGCTAGATAGTGAATGGAAGATAACCCAACAACAACAACCAGGCATAATGGATTTTCACACATAAGATGTTGCCAAATGAAGCTTCATGTCAGCTAAAAGTGAGAAAAGATGGTATAAGATAAAGATGATGAAATCATGTTTGTTGCCAAACAAATACAAGAAAAGGAATCAAAGAAGAAGATTAGAATCAAAAGCACCCAAGTTTGGGCAGTGTAGAATGTAGAATGTAGAATGTAGAATGATGATTATTATTCTACAAAAAGTTGGGTCAAAATCCATCTTCTGAGGCCTCACCATCCACTTTTCCAACCAATCAGAAACCCCTTTCAAACCAAAATAAAGCTCTCTTCACTCATTTCATATCAGTCAGTCAAAATTCCACGTTAGTCTATTCTTTCATCCCTTCTAAAATGGGTTTAATTCCATCAACCCTATGCTGCTCTACTTTACTGATAAGAATCAGCGGAAACAATATATACATACATACAATATATATATACATAATGAGAGATGATAATGAAGAAATACAGGTTATGAAGTGAAGGGGGATGCAGGGCAGGTATGATGTTGGTTGATGGACAGTGGGAGTTGGTCTGTCAGTGGATCTCTACTTGCCCCTTTTGACTTCTTCTCAATCATAATACTATAAACACAATCAAATCAAATTAATCCAAAACAAATATCTATAAATTTTATGTCCCATCATCAATTCACAAAAATGGGCTTGAGAACAGCGAAAAGGTTTTAAGAACAATAAGCCTATGGACATAGTCCCATACAGAGGGTACGGAATGAAAAGATAAAAGGGGAAATACTAATTGATCATACTCAAAGGGATTCTCTTCGGGACTACAACAGTGTTTCCCAGAGTTTGTTTGGACCACTTCTTTATGGAATTCAAATCTTCCAAATGCGCATTTTGTGTGGACATCTTTTTGTAGAGTTTTAATGTGGAGTTGGCTTCAAACAAATAGTGTCGTTATTCGATCATACAGGACGTCCCTTTCTACCCTTTCTACCCCTTTGAGAGCACATGGCAGATGGGGTTTGCAGGGAAGAGAGACTCAGAAGGAAAAGGTACAAACTTTAACCTGAAACACTCCCCTTTTAATTTCTTTCTAAAGCTTTATTTCATAATTCAAACAAAATAAAAACGCCCAGGTTGCCAAATTTCAGTCATCAAATCAAAATGAGGGCCCACGATTCTAAGAACTTCATGATTCCAACCTCCTAGAGGATTCCTATACATTGGAGCAACAACTATCCAAGAAGGAAAGCTAAAGTTTCAAAACCGTTTGGAAGTTCCAAATAAGCTCCTCCATGCTTACACTTCAATGGCTGTGATTGCAAATATCATGTACAATGCCCGATGTATCAGATTCAAAGGCTGGCCTCCGCCAAAAAATATCAACCGAAAGTAGGAGGAAAACTTCAGCGAACATAAATTTACATTAAACTAATTCTACTGGGGAGGATCTAAGTTACAGTATTAAAACCTGGCAATATTTAGGAATGAAACGAAGGGGCCAAACCTCAAGTAACCCTGAATGGAACTGATGGTCCGGTTACCTCTTCTGGCGCCTGTCATCTTATTCTCTCATTAGCGGCACTGTGTTCTTCGGTTGGCTACTGCATTTCCTCATAATCTGAAATATTGTGAAATGATCAACATCATAGCCAAATATAATACTGGTAAGATTGAGCAGATAAGAAATACAGGGCCATAAAATTGAGTGTGTACTGAGTGAAAATGTGAATTACACAATCTTAGTTCTATCTTTAATGTTGAAAGCACACCATCCCATTCCTCAAGTATATACATATAAATCGACCATCAAATAACAGTCATGGGTCTGTAGCGATTGTAAGGCCATTCACAAACCAACAATACTTGAGAAAAAATAATCATCAAGGTCAAAGGTACCAGCAACTTTATGTGTTTTTGAGTGGGGAACAAAAAGAAAAGAAACCTTTATATCCTAGTACGTCAAAACAAAGTTTTAGAGAGCATCTGAAACTGGAGGGCAAAGTAACGTAAACATACCTGAAAATTAATCTGTGTTCTTTGCCAAAGATGAAAGACCAAGTTGCATCTCCTGATCCTTCGTGGGGGCAGGAATAGTATGTGTGTCTGAGTCTGGAATTGCGGCAAGATCAGATTTCATTGCCTGATCCTGGGCAGGATGTTTTACGGCAACATCAGATTTTACGTCCTGCTCTTGTGTGGCAAAATTGGATTCTGTCTCCCGCTCCTGGTTAGTGGCATCACGATCAGCTTGCAATTCGTGCTCATGATCAGATTGTCCATCAGACTCATTGGATGCAGCCTCACAAGATTGCACTGCATGCTCCCCATCTGCATCATTACCACATTCCATCTCCTGCTCCTGGTTTGTGGCATTGTCACATTGTATCTCCTGCTCTGGACTTGTGGCATTGTCACATTGCATCTCTTGCTCCTTATCTGCTGCATTGTTGCATGGCTTCTCCTGCTCCAGATCTGTTGGAGTGTCCCACTGCTTCTCCTGCTCCTGATCAGTGGTATTACCATATTGCTTCTCCCGCTCCTGATTTGTAGGAATGTCATACTGCACCTCCTGCTCCTGATTTGTGTTATTACCATATTGTACCTCCTGCTCTTGATTCGTGTCATCATTACATTGCACCTCAGTTACCTCATTCGTAGCATTATCACGAAGCAGATTCTGGTCAAGTTCTGGAGCAAGGTTAGACTGCACATCCTGCACTTGGGATGTAGGAGACTCTGACACAGCCTCATGCTCCTCCTCAGTTGGCACGTGATCAGGTTGCAGCTCCTGCCCTTGCATAGCATCCTTATCATGTTCCAACTCCAGGACCAAGGTACAATCTGGCTCAGTCTCCAGTTCCTGGGCTGAGGCAAGAGTAGGCTGGGTTTCTTCCTGAACCTCCTCACCAGTCAAAACAAGTGGTTGTGTATCGTCTTGTCCATCAGCTACAGTAACAGATTGAGTGGCCCTCTCATTTGCACCAGGATCATGCTCGGACTTATGTCCCACCGAAGTGTCAAGAACTTGTGCTTTCTGCCCCTCTGTAAAGACAGGAGCCAGCTGAGTTTCTCCTTGAACCTCCTCCCCCATTAAAACAACAGGCTGTGTGTCTTCTTGTTCATGAGCTGCAGAGGTAACAGATTGAGTTTCCTGCATTTTTGTTCCAAGAACATCTTCCTCATGCCCAGCATGTTGTGTTTCTTGGTCCTGGGGGGTGGAAGGAACAGGTCGCCCCTCCTCGTGATGTGTAGTGCCACCAATAATAGCTAACTTCTCTTGCTCCTGGCTTGTGGAAAGAACTGGCGGAGTCCCCTCCTGGACCATGGAAAAAACTGGCTGAGTTTCCTGCTCCAGGCTTGTGGCAGGAACAGTTGGCTTCTCGTGATGAGTTGGATTAAGATCGGCTTGCATCCTACCCAGTTGGGCAGTGTCAATAATAGCGCGTGTCTCCTGCTCCTGGATTGTTCCAAGAATTGACTGTGAATCATCTTGGAATGTAGTAATAGCTGGTTGTGTCTTCTCCTCCTTGATTGTGGCAAAAACTGGTGGCATATACTGCTCGTGGGATGAGGCAGAAACTGGTAGCTCATCATGACGAGAAGTTGAAGTATGATCCGCTTGCATATCCCCAAGCTGGGTTGAGGTGAAATTATGATGCAATTCCTGGTCTTGAGAAGTAACAAGACCCGATTGTGTCTCCTGGTTTGAATCAAAAACAGTTTGCGGTTCCTGATCATGCATCGAGGAAAGATGAGACTGCCGCTCATATTGGATTGTTGAAAAACCAGCCTGCATCTCCCCAAGATGAGCAGTGTAATTAGATTTACTGTCCTGGTCATGGTGTGAACCAAGAACAGATTCCATTTCCTGGTATTCAATCGTGGAAAGATCAAGTTGCATGTCCTGGTCATGAATCGAAGATAAATCAAGCTGCATTTCATGGTCGTGGAAAGAGGATAAATCAAGTTGCATTTCCTGGAATTGAGTCGTGCTAAGATCAAGATGCATTTCCTGATCCTGAAGTCTGGGAATTGGAGAAGCTTTAAACAGGGTAGAAGGAGTATAACTAAGCTGATAATTTACAAGTCTTGGTCCAAAGATGCTGAACCTTCCAGCACTGCTATAAGCAATTTCCCCATCAGAAGATTTTTTGAAAACTACCCTTGCACGACCACCCTCTCTATCCACTTCTGTCTCAGATTCTCTCAAGGGTCCAAACCGCCTAAACATATTATTCAGGGTTTTTTCTGATGGCACAGAATCCACCTCAGAAAAGTTCATTACTAGTTCTGCAGGCGATGGCTGATCTACAAAGCTAGTATACTTTTCAGCTGTCATAGCATGATTTCCAGCAGAATGTCGCTTCTTGTAAGGCCTGCGATTCCCTTGAGGAACCTTTTCTGGCTCTGCAACTGCCAGTTGGTAATCTCGTTTTCTGTTTTTACGAGGTGGCTGAATTTCAGTCCCATTTTGGATTACTCTGTCCGTCCAGTAAGTGTCGCTCATATCCTCAAATTCAAAAGTATGTGGTGAAGCAACAGTATTAGTAAATTGTGCTTTCCTCTTACCACTGATTCTGCACATGGCCTCCTCAATCCCAGGCTGCTGCTTCAAAATTAAAGAATCTCGAAAATCGGTGAAAAAACTGAAAATTACGTTCAAGAAGCTGTATTCCTTCATTGGATCGCTTGCTACTAGTTGAAGTTGACCTAGCAATTCATCCACCGAGGAGTACTCTGCAGGAAAATTTACCCTTCCTCTTTGAGCATCATCAAAGTTCTGGAGGAAAACATCAGATTCATAGATTGCATTCCCATCAAAACTTCCATCTGCCTTTTGGAACCTCTCACTATTAGACTTGACAATTGGAGGCGTACCAGTCAACTGACTTGCAACCCTACGAATACAATCACCAATTTTGAAGGACTGTTTAAGAGGTGCGGTTGCAGAAACCTTTGCCAAGGATATAGTTTTCCTTCCATCTGGAGCACCAGAATCATCAATAGGATGTTCTACAGTCTTCCGTCTTTTTGAAGAAGGCGACGCCAATGTGGAAGTTATCCTTGCATCAGACCAATTTTCTCCATCTATATCGTCAAAATTTTCACCCATTAGTTCATACAAACTCTTTTCTTTTTTCTTAGGATACAGACCATCCTTCAAATTATGTTTGCGTTTATGACAAGAACTACTCCGACCTTCAAAATTCTCCTTACGTGGGGATGTCTGTGTATCATCCTGACAATGAGCTCCATGGTGAAGAAAATCACTTGATTGTATTTCACTGCCTAAACTGTCTAACTCTTTGTCTGCCAGCCCCCCACAAAACTGGAACTGTCGCAAGCCACCAAATTGGAATTGAGGCAGGCCATAATAACCCTTTAGACGATAAAAAGCTGTCAGCTGTGCCTTAGCTATCACTAGTTCCAAACGGTCACTGCCATCAGATGGAAACTTCGCCAACTCCCTGATATATTCAATTAATTTAGCTGGTTCAAACGATGTGGCACTGGAAGATTTGTCTACACCATATCTTCTAGATGATTCTTCTCGAATACCAGCATTTTCAATAACCTGACATTTAATCATGTCATATGCTTCTCTGGGTGTGCAAGCACACGCTAGCCCCAATTCTGATCGTCTAGAGACTTCTTCTAGAGCACAATCAACAGCATTTTGGAAAGCCTCTGAATGGCTTTGCATCTCTTCTTCGGAGAAATTTGTCCGAAATGGCTTTAAATGAGACACTTCGTTCCAAGCAAATGTTCGATCCCCAAAATAAGCAACCAAAAAGAAGTCATTTTTATAATATTTCATTGCCTTATCAGAAGAATCAGATGGATCAAATATCTGACCTGGCCACCAAGGATGGCTCCTCACTTTACCCCACACTAAATCAGAAACAGAAAAATCACCTTCATTCTCTGATGGCAGGTGATAACGAGCTTGATGCAATTGTACAGAACTAAAAGGATTCTCTGCTGCACATTCATCAACTTCATCATCGTCATTATCAATACCTGTCACATCTTCCATTTCTTCCTCGCCATGTAAACCCACCTGGTTAACATTGAAACACTGATCAACTTCCATTCCTTCCACATTCTCAAAATCAGCCAAATTAGTATCAATAACAGCATTTTCCTCAACTTCTACGCCAATGCCCCCTCCTTGTCCATTGGATTGCGGATCCGACTCCATATTCCTGCATTCTATCTGCATGTTCAAATTTGGATCATTTTCAGCAGAAACTTCAATACTCGGAGCCAAAAATTTACCATCATTTTCTGCTGCAACAACTACCTCAGCATCCTGGTTTGGTTGACTTGATGATATTGAATCTGTACTCGCCATATGTTCAGTAACAGCTGTAGATTGGTCTGAATTCGCCACATTTTCAGGAACAGCTATACCTGGATTCAAATTCTCACTATCAAGCGTCTGTGCTGCTACCTCGGGGACTTTAACCGACTTCCCATCCCTCTCCAAATTAGAAAGGACTTTCTCTGAACCATCGCTCTGAGAAATAACTTCAGGATTCAATTCTTTTTTGGTAAACATGTCTGGAGCTTTTTCAGTAGCATCTTGGCCCTGTGAATTTGAATTTTCACTACCATCTGAAGCTACAAGTCCTGTACCCTGCAGATCAACTGGTGTATCAACAATTAGCTCACCTTCCACCACACTTTTTTGGCCTGTTTCTTTTGCCAGACTTTCTTCCCCATCACTTATTGAAGCTTCCTCTTTTACAAGTTGGCTTACCCCATCTGCATGCACTGGGTCTTCTTCAACCCCATTTTCTGTGGGAGGATGAACATCCACTTTCTTAGGCTCCTCGTTGTTCAAAACTTTATCATCTGGACTATTACGGACTAAACTACCTTGACTACGTACCACCCGAGTATCTAAGTCCGTAGCCTCCTTGCTTCCAGTGTTTTCCTCGTCCACATGAGCAGCTTCAGTCTCTCTCTCCACATGACCAGAAACTGTTGAAGAATCATCCGCCCGAGCATCATTATCAAGGACCATTGCATCAACGGCTCTTTCATCACCCTCCACAACTTCTTGAGACGTTTCTTTAATTGATTCCCCAACCCCTGATACTCCCTCACTTTCCATGCCACCAGAAACCCCCACATCAGGCTCGTCAAGGACACCGACATCATCCCTCTCCACACTGGGCTCCTCCCCAGTTGAACCGCCATCCGAATTCGCAGCTGTCCTATCAGTACATACACCATCAAAATAAACATCCGCACCCAAAACTTCCACCATAATATCCTCACCACCACCATTACAAGCCCCATCACCCCCCTCCGCTGTCCCCGCCTCCTCGGTCAACTCACTCTGAACCCGCTCCTTCCTAACACTAACACCGGAATCATCCATTACATGCTTCCCAGCAGTGACAGTTGACTTCGAAACACTGCCAGAAGCATCTCTCTCGTCCGGCTCTTCCATGAAAAACAGAATCTGAGCAATTTTTTCACAAAAAGGGAGGCGAAAAACAAGGAAAAACAATCAACAAAAGCTCAAAAAAAAAAAAAAAAAAAAAAAAAAAAAAAAAAAAAAAAAAAAAAAAAAAAAA